GATGAAACAGAAACATGAGACCAGGAACAAACAAAACAAAATATAATAAAAAACATCAGTTTTGTTTTTTTGCTAAATGTACCAAGAAAAAAGATCCATGTTCAAAAACCTGATAATCCAGTAGATTCAGTCTGACTGGGGTCAAAGGTTTCAACATGTCTAGATGCTGTGGTTCCTAACACCCTTTCAGAAAGCTGTTCCCCTTCCCGCCTGTGGAGGCGCTGCACAAAAAACCACTGAAGGCAATGATCAGAAGAAGACACTGAGCGTAAACCTTCTTCCTGAGACGTGAACCAGATGGAGTGTTGGAGTTTTTAGCCGCAGACCTCAACATGAGACTAGCATGTTTGTTTTGGTCGTATTTACCCAGAATGCCCTGCGCTGTCGTCCACTTCACGTCGTCTAACATGTTTTTAGTGACGGTTTAACTCCACTAAAGTTCAGAGTTCACAGACGACTCCATGACAACAAGACAGACTCGCAGATTATTGAAAAACAGAATAAAAGCTGAAAACTTTTAAAAATAAATATTTCTGACTAAATCTGACTTTGTCGTACCTGACATCAGGTTTGGGGATGATAACCCAAAAGGCCCGAAGACGACCGGGTCACATCTCTGTCTCACCTTTACTCCGGACTCGCTCCGACCGCCCGGCGAAGGTCAGCAGGCCGATGACATCACACAGGGCGCCGTGACGACGCTCCAGGAAGTCCTTGCTGGTTGCATCGGATGACAGGACAGGCGGGTCAGCGGGCGGTGGACCGGGACAGACCGGGACAGACGGGGACAGACCTGTTGTAGAAGCTGTATGACGGCGCAGGCGGGACGCTCTCAGGTGAGACGGACGACTCGGAGACGACGCAGAGCTGAGCTGCCGGGTTCCTGCTGTTCACACTGATCTCTGCAACAAAGACGGGCCGGGTCACGACTGCAGAACCTGGTCCAAAGAGCCCACATCATCACCCCTCCACCTCCCGATCCCACATTCAGCTGTTCTGGATCGGGTTGGTGAAACTCGGTGGAGGACAAAGTGAACTTCACCTACAACCTGGAAAAATGTTTCGTTTTTTCTGAAAAGCTTCTTGTCGGTTAGTTTTACTCTTATTTCACAGGTACCAGGTATTTCCACTAGTTACCACAATAAAAAACATTTAGTTTTTTGCAGTGCGCTGAATGTTTCCGACTCCACAGGAAGTCCAGAGTTCCTCGTACCGATGTCGTCGACCTCTGCCGGGTAGTGCTGTTTGACCCGGAAGCGTCGCAGGCTGATGATGTCACCGAGCTCCAGGCGGCGGTACCAGCTGACACACACACTGTTCCACAGCACCACACACACACTTCCTGTCCGGTCGCAGGCCTGCAGCACGGCCTGCAGCACACATGGAGACAGCGGTAGGGCACGGCGGTGGAGGGGTGATGCTGCGGGCCGAGGGGAGCGGGAGCTGCTCAGGGTTTCATCTGAAGGTTTCTTTCTGGACGGATTCATTCGCAGCTTTGCAGATGAAAATCGGCCCACAGCATCACACGTCCTCCACCGAGCTTCACACTGTGCGTTTCCCACTGACCTTATATGGGCATTCACAGTTCCTGTCTGTCCTGCCGTAGTACATCAGGTGGGACTTGTTGATGATGCGTACGATCAGCTGATGCTGGATGGCGCCCCTGGTGACGCTGCGGCGACCGGACCGGAAGCGTTCCCGCAGCTCGGACACGGTAACAGACGGCTGTCGTCCTGGCAACACACACAGGTGATGTGAGGGATCAATTAGTAACTCCCCTGATGAGCCTGCGCTGTGATTGGCCCCCACCTTCCTCCTGCTCCTCCTCCTCCAGGCTGTCAGTGGGCGGAGCCTCCGTCCATTCCTCGCCACTGTAGTCCACGTTATTCCACAGAGGGAGGAAGACGCTCCTGCTGGCTCTGAGAGGAAGCAGCGCACCTGACCGCCATAAACCAATCAGACGGCAGGAAAAACTCATGATTCTGCTGCAGGGGTGTCCAAAGTGTGGCCCAGGGGCCATTCGTGGCGCACAGACTCACATTTTGTGGCCTCTTAAAAGCAGGTTAATACTGATACACCTTTTATTTTTTATCAGAGTTAAAAATTTATCATTTTCTTGCAATGGAAATGATTAAATATAACACAAAGTAGTCTTCTATTAATTACTTTTCTAATTAATAGAAGCAAATTAATCCAGAGTTTTACTCAAAATCTGACAACCAAACCAGTTTCTAGTAATTCATTAAACTTGCCAGCATTTTGAAAGAAAGTGACGCAAATCCTGCTTTTATAACCGACAATAAACTTTTTCAATAAGAATTTGAAAACTAGACGCCTTCAGTTTAATAAAACAACTTTGCAAAATCATTTTAAATATTTGGACCTACAATAAATAACATCAACATTTTCTGCATGCCGAAGCATTCATCACATCATAAACATAAATAATTCTTGGAAATCATTCCCATTGGAAATAAGCTTCTTCAGGACACTTTAAAACGTTTGGATACTGGTTCTGCTGGTTCTCACCTGCTGGTTCTGATGGTCCGAACCAGGGCAGAGAGTCCCAGTCCGCCTCAGACCTCCTGACTCCCTCCTCCTCCTCCTCCTCATCATGATGGTCAACCTGAACGCCCACCAGCCTGTAGCTGCAGGGGGCGGAGCCTCAGTCAATTCCTCTCATGACATCACCACACAGCCTCTCACCTGGCTGCACTCACCTGTCTCTGTCTGCAGAGGCCCCAGGGCATTCTGGGAGTTGGGGCGCTCAGGGCCGGGATGAAGGCAGCGTTACGGAGCGTGGACCCTGGCTTCAGGACCCGCCTCTCCACCAGCCGGTTCAGACCGGGGTCCAGAGTCACCTGGAGGCGGCAGTCACCGTCTGTCAGCGTCACGTCATACAGGTCCTCACCTGGAGACAGAGGACAGATGAAGGTCACAGAGGTTAGAGGACACTGTGTCTGCCTTGTCTCTGTCCATCTCACCACTCAGGACTGCCTGGGGGAAGTAGATGGCGGACGCCGGGTCTCTGCTGTAACGACGAATGTCCACAACATGCAGGGACTCCCTGCAGACAACTGGAGAGGACGAAGACGCCTGCAAGACAAGCAGAAGGGGAAAAAAACAAAGAGATATGGAGGAGAACACAGACAGAACCATCTACAACAGGGTGACTGATCCCCCATTAAAATGCAGTTTCCAGTCTGGATGCAAGGAAAATGATTTTACTAAATAAGATGCGCCAGCAGGTGATTGGTCCATTTTATCTCATTTTGATCACAGGTCCGAATCGCTCATCTGGTCCAATTAGGGATCGGAACCAATCAGGGGCAGCAAAATAAAGCTTTCAGAGCATAAATAAACTTATGTCAGATTTATTATTTTTTTTGACGTTAACAAATAGACTAAGTAGAAAGGACAGCACTCAGGGATTATATTTCCCATTCTAAACCTGCTTAGGAAATATTGAAATTGAAGCCAACCAGCATTATTTTCATTAATTAATAATTTTACTGATCTTTTAATAAAATAGCTGCGTTATAAGGACCACAGAGTTAATTCGGGATGAACTGATCAATCTCAAGGTTCTTTATTTTAACAGTTCTGAAGTGATCAGAACCTGACCTGTCAGATTCACAAAACATCATCTACCTGCGCTGCACCGGTTAAAATCCATCAGAACCGAACCAGCTACAGCTAATCAGCTGCTAATAAACAGCCGAACTGAAGGTCTGGGTGCGTTTCATAAGAACCCGAACCAAACTGAACTCCACAGAACCGCTGCTGTTGTTGATAAGCGGAACCGCCTTAAAGCAGCTGGTTCTGAGTGGAGTCCGGTGGAGGAGGATTGGCTCACAAAGGCGGTTCGGAAGCCGCTAACAGCCGCTGTTGCTCCCGTTCAGCTCATCGGGACGGTACCGGTAACAACAGAACTCTGGGTTCTGACCTGGTTCGGAGCGGGTCTGGACCTGGCCAGGGTCCTGTGGAAGATGCAGCCGTCGGCCGCCATGTTAGCCCTGTCAATTCCAGAGAGGTGCATGTGGGAAATCGAGGCTAACTGACATCCGTGGAGCCTACAGATGGAGAAATTATTCCTGAGTGGAAATGATTCCTTTATGGAGAAATAAAATTACGTCTTCTAATTAATATTTTATAAAACATATATTATAATTATATATTAAAACATTCCTTTTTATTTCTTTGCTTCCTGGGCTAAAATCGTGTATGAACTGAAACTCCTGCTGTGTTTCAGTGAAGAAAAGGAGAAACATGATAAAAAAGACAAAATCATTTAGTAAAATTAAATCTTTATTCAACAAAACAATCACTTAATTGTCTGTTTTAAATAATTAGCTGTGTTTAATTTCTGTTAATGTGTTGTATTAGTGTGTTAATGGTTTTTAATATTGACTGTAATTTAATTTTTAGTGATAATATTGTCATTCTGAGAATAAAAACATTTTTCATTTTTCCCATTTTTCATTTACTCCTCAGGTTATAAAGTTTCAGACTGATGGAATATTTGTGTGATCGTTGTGATTTTTTTACTGCATACATGCATCATGTTGAAGCTTCAGTGAAACATTATTTTAAATGTTTATTACAAGGCTAGCATGTGGTTTCTGGTTCTCACCTCCCAGGATCTCTGAGCCACTTTCTGTCCCTCCTCACCTGATTGTTCTGCTGTTCTCTCTCGTCTGTTTTTGTTGTTCTGGTTCTGTGTTGTTTGTTGTCTTAAAATAAAAATCATTTTCTTCTATCTCAGTCTTTGATTAGCTGCTCTCTCTTTGCTGGTATTGTGTTACTTTTAATCATAAACTAAACTCACCTGTTCCTCATGAAGTGACAAGGATCTTATTCTTATTGAACTGTTTACTAAAAAAGTAAACAGAAACCATCTTGCTGAAAATGACAGAAAGTTGTTTTCCTTCTTTTCAATAAGGATCATATCTACAATGACTTGAGTTCAGCTGCATTCTCATTAAAATATTGAAATACAGTTGTAATTATTGTTGTAATTTTATTTGGAAAATAAAAAGTGACCCAGAAGTCCTTTAAGGTTCAGGACTGCGCTGCGTCTCTGCCTGAGCAGAACTCTGCAGAACCCGACGTCGGTAGAGTTCAGGTTTTATTTAACACGTTTAATTATTAACAGGAGTCACGACGATTTCTCTGGTTCTGCTCCTTCATCCCTGCTGGTGGTTCTGACCGGTTCTGGTTCCACTCCTCCAAAGCTTCAGGAAATGAAGTCAGACTTCCTGAATGTAAAACTGATGCTGATCACCTGCCATGGTCTGGATTCAGGTCGACATGTTGGAGAAGAGGTGATGCATTCGCTGCCACTGGGACGTCCGAGACTCAGATGCCAGCTGCAGGCAGGTCAGAGTTCATGTTTCACTTCATAAACTGTTTCTCTCTGGAACCAGAACCAGCTGCTGGATGTAAAATGACCAGAACCAGTTGGTTCTGTACGGTTCTCCTGCTCTCTCCCTTTATTTGACAACAGAACCAGAGAAATAATCTGAAACCAGAACCCCTCAGTCATCCGAACCCGTGCAGCACTAAGGCCCCTGACCTCTGACCTCTGCCTACACTCGGCTGGTGAAGTGCTGGGAGTCTCTGAACTCCAGGTAGAGGCTGAAGAGCAGGTGCAGGCTCTGGACCCTGGTTCCGTGGACGGGGATGTCCAGCAGGCTGCAGACCAGGTCTGCGTACTGCGGCAGGCTGCAGGCCAGGCGGGCCGGCGGCAGCTGCAGGGCCCCCAGCAGCTCCTCCACCTCCGGGGGCCACTCCTGCATCAGGCTGTCCAGGTCCGGCATGGTTCTGCTGTACCGCACGCTGGCTGGCGGCTTGGACCGGTGCAGCGCGCTGATGCTGTCCACCCAGCTGTCCACGGCCCGGGGGTTGGTCCGCGGGCCCGCCACGCTCGGAACCTTCTTCAGCTGCAGCGGGGAGACAGAGCGGGGTTCTGATGGTACCGGACCGGACCCTGGAGCCTGCAGGTGTGTGTGCAGGTGTGTGTACCTCTGTGGTTCCGTGCTGTTTGGTTTCCTCCGACAGCCACAGAGACAGAACCGTCGGGTCCGACTGCTTCACACTGGGCTCATCCAGAACCAGTAGGCCCAAGTTGTCTGGTTTCCCATCCGGCCTCGGTACCTGAACACACCACACACATTTCAGATCAGGGCAACCCAGTTGAGACGGTTCTGAAGTTTTGATTTAGACCCAGTTCTGAATCAGGGTTCGTTTTCCAGCAACCTTAGAACAAACAGAACCAACTGTGGTTCTTAGAGTTTATAGAGAACAGCTGGGGTTCTGTCCAGGACCGGTTCAGAACACACTGGAATGCGGTTCTAAAGCCATTTAAAAAATGAATAGAAGGCCTGGTTCTGACCCGGCTCCCAGTGTTGGTACCTTTAGGAAGGCGTCGATGTCTCCAACAGCAGGGATGAAGTCCGGGATGAAGGGCTTGAGGCAGAGGTCCAGTTCTTGGTTCGGAGGAGAATACCTGAGAGGAAATTGACCCATGTGTCAGATCCAGATGTTCTGACCCAGTGCAGCATGTAGAACCTGCAGAACTCTGATGCTGGACTGATTCTGGACTCCCTGAAATAACCTTTTCAGTTCTACATCATTAACCTGTGAAGCTGCAGGAGAACCAGATGGTTCTGATCCATTATATATAACAATAACACATCACATCCAGATCAGAACCAACTGGACTCTTTCAAGCATAGAGCGCAGAAACCAGAACCTGTAGCTTCAACTGCAAATTGCACTGAGAAAAAGCCCAGGTCCATTTCATATAGAACAGAGTCAATGTCAACATTCAGCTGAAAACCCACATCCTACTGGTGTCATCATGCTAGCATTAGCACTCATGCTAACGTTAGCCTTGAAGCTAAAATGTATGTAATAATTCTATATAGTAAACAGAACAGAGTAAGTAACTATTAGTGACTAATATGCTAAGGAAAGCTGTTTAGCTAACCTTCACATTTTAATTAATTTTTAGCTCATTCAAGTTCAAAATATAGTCTATAGCATGTGGGCTGTAATTAGCATGCTGACTATTTTAGATTATAAAACATTGATTTCATACTGATTGGACTAAGTCCATATTATCAGAACCAACCCGTCCGGCTTTGACTGAGTTGGACAGATGTTCAGAACCTTCTACAGTGGAATTCAGGTCCTTGCCAGAACCAAAGGTTCTGTTGGTTCTACATGGTTCTGATGGACTGAGGTGTGTGTCTCTGGTTACCGGGTGATGTACTGGAACAGCTCTCTGATCTCTGAGGTAACCGGCAGGTTGGAGTAGTCTGCAGGGTCGTACACTCCCTCCAGAGTTTCAGTGGGCTCATCGTCATCGTCATCTTCATCAGACTCATCCTCATCGGAGTCCTCCTCTTCTTCCTCGTCCTCGTCCTCCTGGGTCAGACCGGGCCCTGGCTTCAGCCGCAGCGGCTCTGTGGCCCTCACAGCTCTGTGCTCCTCATCCAGCTGGTTCCTGCTGCTGCTGGACATGATGCCAAGAACCTTCTTGCTGCTCCACTCGGTCTGACAGGAGGAAAACATGGAGGTCAGAGAGAAGCAGTCTGACCTCTGACCCCTGAGAATCAGCTCAAAGGTCATCAGGAAGTAGAAAACCCTAATCTAAGAGGGGCAGGGCTGGGGAGGGGGGGTCCCTTTATTGATGTTTAGAAAAAACTACATTAATCTGTGAATTATTTCAAGTAGCCAAAAACTGAGGAAACATATTTTATTACTTTATCTGTTTAAAAACAAATATAAAAATAAATTGTTAAAGCTGAATATTTATATTGTGCACAATTTTCTAGAGGGGAAATAGTAAAATTAATCTTTTCTGAGCTTAAAACTCCGAGTTTTATTCTCCCGGCTTCCAGACTGACCAGCGGGGCTCAGCAGGCTGTGGCCGGGTACCTGTCTCTGTCCTCGGGGAGTCGGGCTGTAGACACTCGGTACCTCCTCTCCGTCCTCCACGTCCAGACTCTCGTCGTAGGGTTGGTTCCTCAGCAGCTGGGGGTCCTTTCCCCGGTCAGTCCGCTCCATGAGACACAGCTGCGTGAGGAGGTTCGGATGGAGGTTCGGATGGTAAGGAACAGCAGCTTCAGCTTCAACCCTGATGTCCCGAAAGCTAACAGAACTAGCGGAGCTTTAGCCCGAGCTAACGGAGCTAGCCGCTACCAGCAGCTCGTAAATCGGCTTTTAAACGACTAAAACCACAAAGTAACCAAGTAAAAGCGCAGCGAAGACTTCAAATTCATCGTTTGGAGACTGAAAATAGTCGCCTGACTGCAGTTTGAATCTGTTTATCTTCCAACAAACGCTTCGTGTTACAGCAGTTAGCAAGCAACTGAGGAATGTACCGTCCTAGCAACAGAAGAGGGTAGGCAGCAGATGACGTGGAGCATCAGCGCCACCTACTGGTCTGGAGGAGGAATCAGGCGTTCAGAACCCGGAAAGGCATAATCAACAACTCACTAACGTTTTGCAAATGTAGCCCCAAATATATAGTTGAAAAATGTTGGTTTGGGTTCTGAGTCCAAAGACAGTCCAATCTCTTAGATATTATGTAAAATCAACTTTTTGGAACTCTACATCATGTTATGATATTATTCTCTCATCAAAAACATACCTGGAGTGTTACCGATATTTTCATGCATGTTTGAGAAATCCTCTAATCTCCAGGACAACCATTCAACTGTTCAATACACCTGGGTCAACCGAGCTCCGTCTCCGAGGCGTAGCTCCTCCCACACTCGTCTCCTCCAGATTAACAACAAGGCATCGTTCAAACATCTTGTTGGACTAAACGTCTGCTGAGCTACTTCTCAGTGAAACTCTGATAAACATGTTAAAGGGTTAATAGAGGAGCCGTGTTGTGATGACTTTCTGAAGGCAGAGTTTCAGTAATAGCAGGAGCTTCTTAAAGAGACAGAAGCCTAATTTCAAGGCATTAAATAATGACATCAGATTTCTTCTAAGTTATAGTTGAGATGTAAACATAAAAATATAACTTTTTTTCTAACATCTGAAGACAACATTGTAACTTGATTGTGCTACACAATAATCCTATATACCTAGCTTTGGGAAGTCCCTTTATAAAAGTTCACCTTTGACCCAAAGATGACTAAGTTTGCCACTAAGTGCATCAGAGGAAGTCAGACCGTTTCAAAACCAGAAAACACAAACTGTACCAGAGGTGAGAACAGCCTGACTTCAGAGTTCATGTTGTTGCTATGCATCTTAAGCTTCCTTATTAAACCTGTGTCTTTGTTTCTGCACATCAGGGTTTTATGCAGTTTAAGGTTCATTTAGCTCAGTTTCAGTTTCACATAATCTGACTAATCAAGTTGCTTCACCATTGAGATTTGCTTTAGTATCATTCCCTGTGAATATTTAAAGAACAAACTTAAACATTAACTCCACATTTTATTCCAAAGTTGAAGATTACAGTTTAAACAAATTAGGTTTTTTTTTAAAAAAATAAAAGCCTTAAAGCAATGTTCCCAGAAAATGAAGAGGAAGACAGAGGCAGGATGAGACTGTCTGGTTCAGAAGTGATACTCTGTGGTGACGTCATCGTCATCATCATCATGTGCTACCAGCTCATCCTGGGGGGGCGGAGTCATCTTCACACACGGTGACGGGTCACTTCCTGTATTCAGAGGAAGTTAAAGAAAAACACATTTATTACCATAAATGCAACTAATTCAGGAGACTGGATAATAAGAGACATTAATAAAGCAAATATAATATATAATAAAAGCAGAACCAGTGAAAACCTTCAGTCAGTCAGTGATTGGTTGGATCATCAGGTCAGGAAATGATTCAGGGTTTTACCTTTGGCTCTGAGTCCAGATGAAAACCCCAAGAGGAAACTGCAGATGAAGAACAGGAACATGACCACCAGGTGGCAGAGCAGAGTGATGATGAGGAGAGGGGAGGATGAAGAGGGCGGGGCCACACAAATGGGCGGGGCTTCAGGAGTGGGCGGACCTCCGGCTGTGGGCGGGGCCACACAAACTGGCGGGGCTTTGGTTGTTGAATTTTCTGCAGAGAATCCAACCCGATCAATTCAAAATTTATAGATGAAACTGAGGGCTCATATGACGAGTTTGTCAAATGTAATTCACACTAATTAGTAGAAGAAAAATTATATATTTGTTTTTTCTATTTGCAAAGAATTGGGAAAGCATTTATTCTATAATCTGGTCTAACGCCAACAAGAGGAATTAGGAATTCAGATATGATGAATAAAACATGTTGCACAACTCAACAGAAGCTGATGACCTCTGACCTTTGACAGAGACCCTGCTGGATGGAGACTCTCCATAACCGCTGATGCTACATTTATAAAGGCCTTCATCAGAGCTGGAAACATGGAGGAGGGTCATGCTGCCTGCTGATCCATCACCAATGAAGGAGCCATCTTTATAGAAAGCAGCTGGGAGGTTGTGGGTTGGATTCCTTGCTCTGCAGCTCAGAGTGACGTCATCTCCCTCCATCACAGGGAGGACAGGACTCTGCAGGATCACTGATCCTTTCAACACAGAGACAAACTACAGCATTTCATCCATTTCCACACAGCAACACTAACTCCACAGTCTGATCTTACCAGAGACAGAGAGCTGGATGCTGCAGCTGCTGCTGCTGCTGCAGCTGCTGCTGCTGCTGTTGGAGGATCCAGACTCACACCAGTACAGACCAGTATCATGTTTGTAGAGGCTGCTGATGTTACATGTAGATCTATTTAATTTGCCCCATCCATCTCCACATGGCTTCCTGGTTCTCTGCTGGTGTTTCTCCTCACTGTCCATCCAGCTGATCTGTTCATCCTCACAGATCAGAGTCACTGATTCTCTCATGAAGAACTGGGATCTGCTGGGACTCACAGTCAGATGAACTGAAATAATAAAACATTTCATTAGTTCCAGCAACAGGATCCAGTCTAGATCTAGAGTTATCAGAATCAGGTTGTAACCTTGGTTTGTTGAGCGGCTCAGCAGAGAGATCAGAGCTGCAGAGAATGACTCTCAGGTTAGTTGGAGCTTTAATCAGCTCTGCAGTGGGAAGCAGCAGTGATCGTCTCTCAACATTTCCACACATCCAGCAGATGGACTCACCCAGCAGCCTGTGGACAGATGTTCCCTCCATTCTGCAGCTGGATCCAATGAGACCAGCAGCAGTTTGACTCGCTGAGAACAAACTCTTCCTCTTCCTGGATCTCTGCGTCTCTTTTAGTCGACCACAAAGTTTATGCTAAACATTTTGAACATTTATAAAAACGTTTCTTGATCACATCTTGATGCTCAACTTAAAGACTTTTAACTTCAGTTTCCTGATTGTCAAATCATCTCAAACTTCTGCATCTTTTATTTGGTTTAAACTTTTGCTCTTGTTTCTTTTCTCTCATCTTGTTGCTTCAGATCATTTTTGTTGCATCTGAGAGGAAACCAAAGAGCAGAGAGGACTGAGAGTGTGAAGCCACACAGTTAATTTATTCTCTGACCTCAGATCATCAAGCAGCAGCATGGAGGAAACATCTCTACTGAGGCTGATCTGTAAGTTAACGACTCATTTTACTCTGCTGACTTTATGGAGGACAAACTACAAGCTGATCTGAGATTCTCTGCAGCTCTGATCTCTCTGCTGAGATGCAGCTCAACGCATCTGACTGTGAGTCCCAGCAGATCCCAGTTCTTCAGAGGAGAATCAGTGACTCTGATCTGTGAGGATGGATGGACAGTGAGGAGAAACACCAGCAGAGGAACCAGGAAGCCATGTGAAGGATGGGGGAAATTAAATAGATCTACATGTAACATCAGCAGCCTTTACAAACATGATACTGGTCTGTACTGGTGTGAGTCTGGAACCTCCAGCAGCAGCAGCAGCAGCAGCAGCAGCAGCAGCAGCAGCTGCAGCATCCAGCTCTCTGTCTCTGGTAAGATCAGACTGTGGAGTTAGTGTTGCTGTGTGGAAATGGATGAAATGCTGTAGTTTGTCTCTGTGTTGAAAGGATCAGTGATCCTGCAGAGTCCTGTCCTCCCTGTGATGGAGGGAGATGACGTCACTCTGAGCTGCAGAGCAAGGAATCCAACCCACAACCTCCCAGCTGCTTTCTATAAAGATGGCTCCTTCATTGGTGATGGATCAGCAGGCAGCATGACCCTCCTCCATGTTTCCAGCTCTGATGAAGGCCTCTATAAATGTAGCATCAGCGGTTCTGGAGAGTCTCCATCCAGCAGGGTCTCTGTCAAAGGTCAGAGGTCAGGAACGTCAGGTTCAGATCAAAACATTTTCTCTCCAACATTGAATTGATCAGATTTTCTCTGTAGAAAAACCTTCAACTTTAGCTCCGCCCACTTCTCCACCTCCTCCCTCCCTCCTGGTCAGGCTGCTCTGCCACCTGCTGGTCTTCTGTCCGTACTGCGTCTCCACTCTCCTCCTGGTGTCTTTATGTCGACACAGAGTCAAAGGTGAAACACTGAAACATTCACTGACCTGAAGTCAGAGTTTATCTTTATTTTTAACTTCCTGTGACTGCAGGAAGTGACTCTTCAGTCTCCATGGTGATGACCCCACCCAGCCAGACTGAGCAGGGATTGGACAGTGACTATGATGATGTCACCACAGGCATCACTTGTGAAATCAAGAGATTTTATTATAGATGCTGTATGAGCAGCTGCTCCTCTCTGATCGCTCCCAGTTGAACAGAGAATGTAAAAAATATTTTATTCACATTGTTTTATTGAAGCCAAATAAAGATTTTGGGAACAACTGCATAAATATATTCTCACCTTCCTTCACTCAGAAATTGGTCAGTACAACTGAATTCTTGCATGTTGCTTTAAATAACCAGAGCTTCTGTCTTCAGCATCATTTGACAACATTTGGCCTCAATGAAAAGATCCAGCTGGAAAACATTCAGGTTTGAAAACATCGGCTTGTGAGTTCATTGTGAAAATCTCCTTGAATGTTGATCAGATACAGACATTTATTGTGCAGTAGAAAACTTTCTGGGCAAACATGGAGAAATAACCATGAAACTCATGGAAAAGCTTCTTTAAAATAATAATTTCTGCTTATAAACATGGTCAGATTGTTTCCTGTGTTTCCAGGAGGTTTAAGATTCAGTTCCTGCTCTGGATCCAGTCCAGATGTTTTCTCTGCCATGTCCATCATCAATGAAGCTGAATGCTTTAGGCATTGCACTGAGGTTTAAATTACAGTTTGTCAATGAATTACAACCTTTGATTATATTCAGTTTAAAGATCATTTTTCTCCCTGGCTTGATGACATGAGTTTGATTTCCTCAGTTCACCACAGCATCAAGGATTGTCTGCCACAGCTACAGGCCTG